ATGTTGCTTTGAATTTACTCAACTCAGTTAAGTGGAACCAGGTCACATAACATGGTTAAGTAAATCCAACATTTCATTTTTAGAGTGTATACTGTATAAACTCCTGCATTGTATTAAAACATATAGCTGATCACAATGCAACAACTCAGTGCATTTAAACATGTGGACATGGTAAAAATTACTTACTAAGTTCAAGCCAAGCAGCAGATCGGGGAAGAAAGGAGATTTAAGTGACTTTGAACATGGCATGGTTTTTGAGCTGGTCTGCTTTTTCCAGAAATTGCTGATTAACTGGGATTTTCACACGCTGCCATCTCTGGTGTTTCCAGGGGATGGTCCAAAAACAGAGAAAATGGGCAGTAGTGGGGTAAAATCTCTTATTGATGTCAGAGAAGAATGGGTGGACTGSTTTGAGATGCTAGGACAACAGTAGCGCAATTAACCATTGGTTCCARCCAAGGTATGCAGAATACCATCTATGAATGCACAGCACCAAACCAGATGAGCTACAGCAGCAGAAGTCCACACATGGAGCCACTACCGTCAGCWAAAAACAGGACATTGAGGCTACATTTTGCACAGACTCACACAAGCATTCTTTACTCCAGTGGTATTTTCCTTAAAGCCCCRTTTATTTACTTCCAAGCCAAGCCCTTGTACTTGCTGCTATTGGGCCTAAAYATCACAATAACGAGGCCCTATCCCATTTGTTGTAAGAGTTGAGGCTGGTGATGTTGGTGTATCTGTGTGGGGGATTCTTGGCAGACTTTAGGCCCTTTAGTACCAGTTGAGCACCATTTAAATCCCATAACCTAATTGAGGATTGCTGTTGACCATGTCTTTTCTGTTATGGCCTCAATGTACCTATCTTCTGATGGCTACATCCAGGAGGAAATTGTACCTTGCCACAAAGCTCCAGTCACCCTAAACTGGACTCTAGCAGCTTCCATAGTCACCAGATCCTACTCTGAGTACATTTGGGATGTAGTGGGTAGGGTTGGGCAAAATTTTATTGTGTGCAATTAATCGTTAATCGATTACWTTTTGGCACTTGATGACTGATGTGATTTGTGCCGCCCCGGTCTGTCCGCTTGATGCTCCTCTYCATTTCAAATATGACAAACATTTTWWAAAAAGTTCTGAAATKTATTTATCATAACTCCAGTTTTACTTGGTCTATCAATACTGACGTATAGCCTGAAGTCTTTACTTTTGACACAGTTTGTAACAGATTTTTACTGACAGCAAATCTTTCACACTAGAGTAATTTAAATTGGCCATGTGACTAGGACATATAAAATAATCGATTATTGTTTTTCTGACGATTAATTGCACACGATTTGATTTTGGAGATTCACGTCATCTATGTTAACCTGACAAATCTGCACCACTGATGCTATCATGTCAAAATGAACCAACTCTCTAAAGAATGTTTGTTGTGTCTCTGCCATAAAGATTTAAGGCAAATTTTAAGGCAAAGGGGGTCCAATCAGATACTAGCAGGTGTACAATCTGCAGAAGGCTCATTAAAGAGTTCCCACATCAAAGATTAGACACTGAACTCGCTAGAGGGGATTTAAGGGGTGAAAATTAGGTTCATGTAGTTACTTGAGTCCAAAAGAAACCCCGCACTGCAGCATCCGCAGTATACTTTTTTGTTTGTTTGTTTTCAGCTCAAAACTCCGGTCTGTTCTTCCATCCCTGAGGCCCGCTCATCCCACCTCTTGAGTCTTTTCTTCTTGTTTTCTCTGTTGTGAGGTGGGGCGAGTTGGAGCTTGTTAGAAAACTTTGCTCGGGGTTTGACAAGACTGTCCTGAGGGAGGCAGAAACAGCAGAGCTCTGTCACAGAAGCTGTCACCGTAGCTTTTAACGTGCCACTCACACGCTGCATCAGGAAACATCATGCTAACATGCTGCGGGAAATCACATCGGAAACAAATCCACGCCTTATGAGAGGATCGTATCAGTGGCTCCGTAAGACGTGCTGAACTCGTTTCAGGAGTCAACGTTTGGCAGCAGTGTGAGATAAAGGTATCGACATTCAAGACACAGTCGTGAGGATGTGCTTGTGTCTTTTCAGGCATGTACATTCCCAGTTGCGACGAGGATGGCTACTACAAGAAAGTGCAGTGTGACCAGAGCCAAGGGGAGTGCTGGTGCGTCGATCAGCAYGGAGAACTGATGGGCTCCAGGATCCACGGGAACCCCGAGTGTGGTAGGACCTGACCTTTAGGAAACAAACATTTCTTTTTTTATGTGAAATATTCAAGAGTTGAAGCAATAAAGCTGCCAGAGTCCTTTCCTGTTTGTTTTGATTCTTCTTATATTTGAAAAATGTTGTGGAGAGATGAAACAAACCATCAGTCCCAGTAGTATAGAGGAATGTGTTTTCCTGCCTTTTTTTATTTAAAGACATGAAACATATTTGCAGAACAACAGGATATGTTGGTGTAGCTTCAAACAAAGATTGACAGTCAGTTTGTCCTTTGTCAGCTTTAAATGATCAAAGCAAAATGAGCATTTGTGAAGGCTGGTTTTAAAGAGACTGGAATCAAAACAAAGCCTTTCTGATTGAATCTAGCCACAGATGTTTCAGGTGTTTTTACAGTGCGAAAATGATAGATGAATGAAAAGAATGCCTTTTACCTTCCACATTGCATGCTCAAGTTTTAAATGAATGTATTATGTGATTTATTTGTGCTACAAATATTTAAAGGGATTAAGTCTCAACTACTTCCACACCAAATCTTATCTCAATATCTGGGACTTTGACTGAGTTATAGTCATTTTTGTCTTTGCTAACATTGATTAGCTGTAGCGGTCATCTTAAATTAGATTGACTCCAAACTATACTCAATTGCTGTTGTAACTCCAGGGATTACTTTCTGGGAGTTTTTSTAGAATCCATCCAGTTTTTCACAAGATATTTTGCTAACAGACAGATAGGTTTTCAGCAATTACTAACAGAGTTTGAAACAAAAAATTTAATGGAATTTGTCAGAGTTCCAAATATCTATTGGGGTCAACTATCAGTTGCTATTATTCCAAATTTTAACGCAATATTTAAATATTTGACTGAGTTACTGTATATCCCTTTTTGTGTTTGCTAAGGTTAAYTAACTGTGGCAACCATCTTAGACTGGTTGAGTCCAGAAGTTGAACAGTTGCAGAAGTGCATCAAAAGATAAWTTTCTGAGAGCTTGATTAAAATCAATCCACAGGTTCATAAGATATTTTGCTAACAATCACACACCCACAGACSCAGGCAATTCTATTACTGCTCTCTGCCATGAAAGTTACATTTTCTTGTTTTATTCCTAAAAATATTTATAAGCCTAAGCATGAGTATGATGTGGCCTTTTTAGAGTTCAACTTCAGTCTTCTTGTTCTACATTTTTTTGCAGTTTTTGSCAACATCGTAAAATTCCAACACTCATTTCCATAAAGAAAGTTACAAAACTTTTAGCACCATATCTTGCCTTAAACTGCATCAACACAAATATTTGTATGTCCTTTACCAGATGAAGTGGCTGGATATTCTGGAGATTTTGGAAGTGGAGTGGGATGGGAGGATGAAGAGGAAAAAGAAGCAGAGGAAAACGGGGAGGAAGCCGAGGAGGAGGAAGAGGAGGAAGGTGAGGCAGACGATGGAGGATACATCTGGTAGAAGAGAAAGTGGAGGAGATCAGACTGGACTGGGGGTTGAGTTAGTGGAGCTGGGCAGGTGAAGTAAAAAGAGTGGAGCAGTTTTTTTTTTTAAATCTTAGACGTGTAATTGCTTCATTTGATCCTCTGTTTTTGAGCAACAGAGCTTTGTGTTTTTTCTGTCCTGAAAAGAGGTAGCCACTGACTTGTGCGCTAGAGGCGAATAAAAGTACGTAAAAACTTTGTATCTTGTATTACCATCATCTATGCATATAGAGATTACGAGTAATTTTGTATTGTGTAAACAGTTGCTTGAGTACCAGAGTTGGTGTCCCACTGGAAYGACTAGAGATTAACTGTGAAACTAACAGTTTGACACTTTGGGAGATAAGCTTATTTGTTTYCTAGATGAGGATGATCCATGCCATGCTTGTGCAAATATGAGGCAACAGGTACAGAGCTGGACTGTTCCKCTTTGCCTGATGAGTTGAAAAGACGGCAAATATTTTCTTTGGTTTGTCTCAAAAGCTTCTAACAACACATTTAAAGCTTTTATGTGAAAATGACACATTTTAAATATGTGTTGTATGTCTGATTATACAGGAAGTCACAGCACTGGAGGTAGAAATGATCCAGCAAACAATACCTCTAAAAATAAAGTGTCGTTTCACACTTATAAAAATTATATGAACAATATGTAATGTGTTATTTGTTGAGTTTTCTTTTAATAAGGCTACTCTGATCCACCAAACCTTTTATTCTGACAAAAATGTAGATGTTCSCTTGGTTACTTTGACATGTACCTTTTACTTTAGTGATTATCAACTGGTGGCCCACGTGCCGTTTTAGGCTCACAAGCTCATTCCATTTGGTCTATAAATTAAACAACAAAAGAACCAAAATTGTAACTTTTTTATTGTTACTTTTATTCAATAAAATTATTTAACATAAATTAGTCCTTCAAAAAACTGAAACTACGTGGCAAATTTGAGCCATTTATGGCATCAAAAATTATAAGAACATCTAATTTCTTGACAATTCCTAATCTACCGTATTTTCCAGATACAGTCGTATCAGTCAAAACGTGTCAGGTAGAGGGGGAAAAAACTATAGGTTACACCTGATTATTAGTCACATCATAACATATATTTAATCTGGGATAACACACAGAATATACCTAGCTTTAATTGACATAGACAGATGACACAGATGCGATTAACTTTACTTGAATCGTTTGCAACGACTAAAGTATTTTTTTATGTCACACGAGTTCAATTAAACATCCACAGCAGCAAGCATCGACTAGCTAACATTAGCTACCATTAGCTTACCGTCCTCTGTCGTCCTGCCCACTCGTCATTAGCATCGTACTGCTGGATGGTCCAGTGCAGTTTTTGGTACTTTTCTGTTGAGTTTGGTGTGGTCCATTATTGTCATGTCGCAAATAAAATGAAAATGCATTCCATTGAGCATGTTCCCGGTAAATTCACCAATCTCAGTCCGCATTGTGCGATCAGCTTTCTTCAATTTGTTCAATGCAGTAAGCGTAACCTATGCTTTTTTGCCAGTCTTTCACAAGTTTCTCATTCGCTCAAAAAGTTTTTTTTCTGATGCTCATTTTTATTTTTTGTTTTTAACTGGTGTTCTATAGGAACAACATTATACCATAGTTGTCACAAGACTTGAGCGCCCTCTCACGGCTGTTGACGGTAATGTTTACTCCTTGATTCATGTTTGTCAGTTGGAACTAACAATTAAACGCTTCAATCAAAAAAATGCATCATGAAGAGGGGAGAAAACATATATAAATTGCACCAGGCTATAAGTCGTAGGACCAGACTCTGGAAAATACGGTTATTATAATCTTCATTGCACGTTTATTCTTCAGCAACAGTAGATTCCTCTCTGCAGGAATAAAACTAACCAGTGACAGCTTAGGGAACATAACAAAGAGACAAAACACCCCAGATTCCAATCCACAAATCATCCTCAGKGGGGTGTATGCTTGAGAAATTCTCACTTTCTTAGGTCCCATCTCAAGAGATTTGGCTGCCAGCATTCAGGTGTCACACTCCAAAGAACRTTCCAGACTCAGTGTCTACGGTGTTTGTTAGTGGGTCAGAGCTACACAGCATCCTGAAACGTGGCTGCAGGATGATTCTCTCTCATTTCAGTCTCACAGGCCAGAAAACATTAGAACAGAGACCTCAACCGATAAACAARCATGTAAAGAATAATCTATATTTGTTGTTAATCTTTATGGATTTGTTTGCCTAAAGTGAATCTGCTCTATAGTAAATTTTAGCCAAAATGTGGTGCATGATTCATCTATTTTTATTTATAGCATCATTTTACATTATGAGATCTGTGAAACAAGCACTAAAAGATCAAAACAACCTCCGTAATGCAGTCGAGGATAAACCAAAGAAAAAATAGAAAGATTAAGCTTAATAACAATGTAAATTTCTAAGTTTGGTACGAGGCAAATAATCATATTTTCTAAACTGTCAAACTGTTGTTTTCGCAGCAGTTCTGCTGATTTGTATTTTAAACTTGATTCTGTACATAAATACAGTTTAGAACTGTGCAACACAACAAAGAGTACAAGATTTCTGATTCCTCTGGTTTTAAGCTACCTATATGATAAAAGTCCACGACAGCTCATGTAAAGAATACCACCGTTTTCTGAATTAACACAACCKGCAGGACTTACAGCTCATTTCTAGCATAAAGACTCAAACTGCACTCACGTTAGATGTTGCCGCCCTTCGCTAACGCTGAACTTCTGTCAAGGAATGTGCCACAATTCAGTTATTTTGTTCTGGGTTTGCAACTTGAATTACTGTACTTTGTGTTTATAAAAGAAAAAACTATATATATTATGTGCATTACTTGAAGTTCTGTGTGTATACTTGAATTCACACTGTACTTTTTTCTATGAGAATATCGTTGCCATGTCTTCATTCATGCTTACGGATAGGCCAGATGTTTGTTTTTTGAGTATTGCATGTTAGAATGTACTTCTTTGCTGAGCACTTTACTAATAAAGGCATTGGAGCCAAGCTGGGGGCTGATTTCTTTCAACTCCAAGACACGTTGGGCTCTTAAATTCCACTGCATCTGTGTGTATTTTTTTTTTAGGTGTCATCGCTGAGGCACGTTTTAGGATGAAGCAGATTTATGTGTCCTCACTATGGAGCCACAAAGTGTCAGGAGTTGTACTGCAGATTTACTGGGGCACACACGTGCTCATCTGTCACCTTGCTCTGACAGATGAAGCTGTTTTTCCTGAATGAACAATGTGACGCCATCTGAGACAACAGATCAGAAATCTGGCAATAATTCAATTGATAGCTGTCAACGTTTGCTTAAAGTGGGAGCGCAAAGAAGACSTTGAAAAGTCATTTAGACAAAACTGTTCCGCCTAAAAAAGCGACGTTAATTAGGTTTGAAAAGAAACAATCTGAAAAATAGACAAAAATGACAAAAAGCRATGCCACAATGAAACAATTCAAAGTGTTTTATATACTTTAATCACCTGAATGATTCTTTTTTTTTCTGAGCCAAACATTTTGAACACTACACAAACAGAAAAGCACCATAGTGCCAGCTTAAATACTGTATAAGAATTAACATTTGAAACAAACATAATTTAAAATAAATGGTACAGGATACAGTCCAAATGGGAAAAAAAATTCAGTTATGGTGCATACATTTTATTATCCACTTTTCTGCAGAAAATATCATTATATAGCTTATCTGCACAACATTACCCTGTTCATACAAGACAGAAAACTGTCCTTATTAGTTATTTCAAGTTTTAAAACATACAAATTTAAATAGTCTAAATATGTTTGCTATACATGAAACATTTACAGAAAAAAAAGACCAAAACAATCATTTTCCTCTTGGTAAATTCAGGATTTAAAGTGCACTCGTCTATATTTTCAGGAAATTAAAAAGCACATTAGCAGCACTTAAAACTTGCCAGCACTGTGAATAAAACGAGAGATACATATTATTAGCCATTAAAAGTCGACGGGTATTTAAATTATTGCCACTTCAAACTGAACTCTAGTCCATGGTCGGTTCAAGCAGGAGCGTAACTCAAAGCCAGCAGCACTTTATGTGTTTGAAAGAAGTCAACGGACTCAGAAGCACCTACATTCTTTGACTCCCACATGCAGCAGGGGAAGATTGTCTCTTCTTCCATAAAACTGGCTCTGCTTTATTGCTTTCTGACATTTTTAGAGTGAGTCATTATTACTGCTATGAAGATACAATAAAACAAGGCTGAGCTCTGTAGTTTGCCGCCGAACTCTTGGAGTTTCCTTTTTGACTTCCCAAAGTCAAAGACTGAAAAGGTGGATTCTGATCACAATGTTGTAAGGGTCGGTCAATAAGAAATAAATAAAACATTAAAGTAGACAAAATCCACCTTTTTATTCCTCAAATCAAGTGCTAATGGTATATTCAAAATTTGTTAGAAAAATTTGTGCACCGCTGTAACCATGTGTTAAAGCAACTGAAAACAGATTGGCAATASTGAGGTAAAAAGAAGAGCCATTTAGGATCAAGAAGTCTGATTTATTTCAAGTCTATAGCTGAAACAAGTGGTTCTCAATTATTTTTTGGTCATGACTCCCAAGGGAACTTTAATTTTTTCATGTCCCCACCCTGAATTGACATACTATTGAGAACTTGAAACTGCATGATGTAAAAGAACATGTATTATTATAATTTACCTTTTAAATTGGTTTATTTTGCTGAATTGAATCATTCATTGAAACCATTAAACTGATTTAAAATCTATATTAAACGAAGAAATTTTTTTTACTTCAAGGTACACGAGGTATCCTGATTTCTGTGGTGCTCCTTCAAGGCCAATGAGTTCTAGCATACATACAAATGTGTATATATACATATATTAGGGGTGCAACAATACATGTATCTGTATAGAACCGTTCAGTATAGTGCTTTATGTTCAGTACACATTACGTATCAATCAATACAGATATTTTAAATTTATGTTATCACCTTGCCTTCTGAAGATACTCTGTGTTGAAGGCTCAGTGGATCTGTGTTTGACTACACCTTCATTGTTGAGCACAGATCCACTGAGAAACTTGCTGTTTTCAGCAACATTTAATTCAAAAACTGTACTTTTGAAGTTAAACAAATGTTCATGATCAATTTCGATAAATTAGTAGTTAAGAAGAGCATGGAAATGTCTCTTTTTGTGTCGAAAAAATATTGAAACATAAGGCTAAAGTATCGAACCGTATCAAATCGTGAATTTTCTGCACCGTTGCACCCCTAGTGTGTGTGTGTGTGTGTGTGTGTGTGTGTGT